TGAGAAATTGAAAGAACAAACTCCAGGTTCGTCATCCGAGGAGTTAGAATTCAAGGCTACCACTGGCTGGTTTACAAAGTTTAAAAAAAGGTCTGGAATTAAACATGTATTAATGTATGGTGAGTCTGCTAGTGCAGATAAAGAAGCAGCTGAGAAGTACTGTCTCAAATTTCAAGAATTCATTGAAACAGAAGGGTATCGTCCACAACAAATATTTAATTGTGATGAAACTGGTTTGTTTTGGAAGCGCATGCCGAATTGTACCTACATCACGAAAGATGAGAAAAGTGTTCCTGGGCATAAACCTATGACCAATTGACGTTACTTTTGGGAGCTAACGCTAGTTGTGATATGAAGTTAAACCACTTCTCGTTTAGCACTCGGAGAATCCCAGAGCATTCAAAAAAAATCCATAACTAAAAGCAAACTGACAGTAATGTGGGGATCGAATCAGAGGGCATGGGTCATACAGTATCTTTTCAAGGAATGGCTAGTTTGTGCCCCTAGCATCAGGGACTACCTTGATACCAATGATTTGCCGTTGAAAGCACTGCTGCCTGCTGCTATTGGGCAATGCACCAGGACATCCAAAGGATCTTGAAGATAATTCGTTGACAGACTTTCCCTGGCTGACAGTTCAGTTTTTACCTCCGAATACGACTTCGCTGATTCAGTCGATGGATCAGGAGGTTATTGCGGCTTTCAAGAAATTGTACACCCACGCGCTGTTTCGTCGGTGTTTTGAAGCAAACCAATTCTCCTCAACAATGACTTTAAAAAAGTTTCGGAAAGAAAAATTTGACGTTCTTGAAACTATTTGTATCATTCAAAAGGCGTGGTCAGAAATCACACAGCGACAGTTGATTTCTGCTTGGCGGAAGCTGTGTCCATCCTTCGTTCAAGGAGACGGAGGTGATCAGGGAGACACCTCTGAAATTTTGACAACTGCTAGAGATCTGGAATTGGAGATGAATGGCATAGTAGATGACATAGAAGAGCTCATAATGGGGACATGAAGATGAACTGACGACAGAAGAACTCCAAGAAATTTTGAATGAAGAACACCAAGAAACACAGTGAAATGTCTGAACAAGAGGAAGATGAAAGAGGACCAATGCCGACATCTGCCATTGAAGATCTTTTGAAAAAGTGGGAGGATGTCAGAGCAATGGTCTTAGAATGGCACCCAAACTAAGCTGATGTCAGTAGGTTTGGGGATCTTTACAACAACAATGCTATTAATTACTTCCGGAAAATCCGGAGAAAGAGAGAAAAGCAATCGACATTGGACATGTTCTTCAACGCCCCATAAGCATAAAATGAAAGGGACTGATTAATATGCAAGACTGTATGCATGTATTATTTTTTAAGAAACTTACTAAGAAATTATACATCTTTTAAAATTTAATTTTTTGGATCTCCAGAACGAATTAATCGATTTCACATAGAAGTCTATGGTGAATCGATGATCGGTTAACGAACAATTCGGATAGCGAACATAATCTTGTAACGGATTATGTTCGTTAACCGATCACCCACTGTACTGAATTATTCATCAGCTGTGTGGTTTTTAAAAAGAACTCTAGAATTAGAATAGTAGGAGATAAAAAGTATTCTTAAGTTCAATATGTAATTATTGAATTAGCAGGGGTCTGTCCAGACATTTTGTGAAAGGTCCGTTTATTGTAAAATTGTGAAAAAAATTACTCGTAATTTGTCAATATAAAATAAACGTAAAATCGCATTCTTTCAACCAGGGTCCGCTTTTGTGAGCTTGTGCAAATAGGGTCTTGTTATTGCAAAAAAACTTTTTCAAGGAGTTTTTATATTGTAAAGACATTTAAGATTATGCTCAACACTGTAAAATTATA